AGAAATATTTAAACTTTTAAACAACAGGTACAGCATTGTGCCCCCCACCCCCCACCCCAAAGTGCAAACAATTGCGTAAACTTTACTGACACTGAGCTAAAATCTGGTGTGGTAGGAGCTCCCCCCACACATATTCTGAGACATAGCAGATTACATTTGTTTAAAATTTATCCATTAACCACTTAAAGTCAACACTGTTGTTCTGTTAGCAAAATATCTTAAGAACCACCAGCCATATTTCAATGAAACCTTCAGGAAATAATTAATAAATGTACGTTTAAAAATGATAAACTTTTGAAGTCAACACAACTCAAGATCATCTTAGAAAACATAAACTGTAAACAAACTCATTTTTCAGTCATTTTTTCACAACAATGGAGTTAAAATCTGGTGTGGTAGTAGCTGAGAGTCACCTCCAACACGTACTCTGACTGTTGACAGTTAGTGCATGCCTTTATTTTGAAGGTTTATCCAAAACTTCAACACCTGCATCATTTCTCAACAAAGGAAGAAATCTGAACTCTGACATGAAAGGCAGCGGTGCCTGAGTCTTTATTATTTAAATATTTATTTTTAATTTGTTTTAATCTTTTTTTTTTAACTTTCTAAGCTGAGAACAAAGCTGAAGGAATACATTTTACTAGAGCCAAAGTCTAACAAATAATACGCTTAATTGGTAATTTATTACTTTGTACTTGAGAGGAGATTATTAGAGCCTCACATAAAATCAATAATGATAATATCAGAATGGTATCAGTATCGGGCGATATCCAGATTTAGGTATCAGGAAGTAAAAAAAAAAAAAGTGGATGATGCATCCCTAGTAATTTGAAATTTATACCTGGAAAACATTATTATGACTGTAAAAACAAATAATTAGCTTTAGTACTATCTAAACAAAATAAATAGGTGAATAAAACATTTTTTATGCCTCTGTTTATTTAATCAAACATGTTTTGTATCAAAGACGGCAAAATGTTTTTATTTCTCTTCCCACTCCTTTAAAACGGGCGACATCTACATAAATAATAAAGTCTGAGACATTCTCGTTTTTCCTCATACCGGTCGGCACCAAAGAACAAAATATCCAGCTGTTGAAACATTTAGGTGGCTTCAGTTCAGGTGAGTTCATTTTTTAAATATCTTCAATAAAACAGGTGATCTCAGGACATTTTAAAAACGGCAGATAAATCTGTCGAACGTCGGCCGACGAAACAAAACTTCCTTTAGGGACGAGCGAATGCGGCAGAACCAGCCTCAGGAAGTTCAGCCTGGAGCCGTTTCAGGTGAGCGTGAGAAAAAGTAAAAGCAACTTCAGCTGGAATGTGTTTGTTTGGAAAAAAAACTGAACAAAAGTGTGTTCTGATCAATTATTCACCGCAGGACATCAATAATTTAAAATGTGATGGAATCACTGAGAAGTGTCGGAAGAGGTCAATAAAAAGAGTCTGAAACTGGAAAAGATGCTTCAGGTTGTTTGTGCAGCCGTCGACCGTCAACTCCTCACAAACAAAGGTTTTTATCCAGTAATTGTTATTTTTATTGGGCACAAAAACTTCTGTGATGTCACGTCTGATCACTTCTTCTCTCCACGGCAAGAATCCAACGTCGCTTTGCTTTTACGCCAGATGTTCTTCCAGATGCAACCACAGACCACCGAGCTGCCACAGCCCTCTGAGTGGAGCAGAGCTGACATTAGGGTGCCCGGGGAGCAGATGGTGGGGGGTAAGGGCCTTGCACAGGGGCCAAGGGTGGGGCAGATGAGGGTGGGGCAGATGAGGGTGGAGGCAGGTGTGGATTTTGGTGTTTCGGTCTGCAGAGGGATTCGAACTGTCGACCTTACGGTCACGAATTCACATCTCTAACATCTGCACCACCACTTAATGTTTGTATTTTACCCCCCCCCCCCAATAAAAGTTAATTTTTAGAGCCATCTCAGCCGGAAATAAAAACATCAAATTTAAGTTTGTTTTGTTTGAGTTTAGCTCCTTAAATGTCTTTACTCTAAAAAAAAAACCCTCAAGTCAGTTTTTCAAAATATTGACAAAGTATTTATTTTAAAGTAATAGATTTTTTCCCCCAACAATAAAAAATAAATTAGATTAAAAAATAACAATTTTGTAGTTTTGGAAAGACCGTCCAGACCATCGGATCTTCCAGGACCAGAATCAGAATCAGAATCAGTTTATTACTGCCATGTCAATGAACGAGGTTCACAAACTAGGAATTTGCTTCGACATAAGGTGCGAATAGTAATAAAGTAAATAAAGTAAAAATAAAGTAAAAATGAAGTAAAAATGAGAACATTACATAAGACATAAGACCAGCAGCTGCAAACAGCTGCATCTTTGTCCAAACTGTTGAGTGTGTGTCGGACGTGGAGATTTCTAAATCAATCTTTTCATCTTTATTATAGTATTCTCTAAAAGTACTCGTGCACAGACCCGTTGAGCGTTTAACGTTTTACTTTACGTGGATGGGCTGATCGCTGCAGTCCGGTCCGGACTCAGTCTCAGGCTGGACAAGAACCATAAAAAGATTAAACTCTGAAAAATACAACAAAATAAACCAAACAGGAATCAACAGAACATTATATTTGTTATAATTCTTGATAATTCTTCAAAGAACAGCAAAAATGACATTTTATTATTCTATTAAAACATTTTAATGTCTCATGTATTTTATCATCACCGTTTGTCTTGTTGTCAGCAAAATATCTCATGCATTTTGTAGTCGACAGATTTTAACGAAAGTTTCAGAAAGAAATCATTTAAACTTTATTAACTTTTGAAGTCAACTAAACTCACATGTCAGTTTTACAGCTACTGGTGTACTAGGTGTGGTAGTAGCTGAGAGTCATCCCCAACGCCCATTCCTAAAAAGAATCATTTGACTCAATATATTTCTACACATTTTTGGTCGACAAGTAAAAATTAAGTTTTCAAACTATAGTAGATCGACTTCTAGCAGCTCGAGTTCAGGCGTCTGAGATGGATTTGATTGTTGTACAATAATAACAATAACAACAACAATAATAATAATAACAACAACGACAGGAGGCAGATAATTTCTCCCGGCACGGTGAAATCTCACCTCCTGTTTTATTTATTGTGATCTGAACAGCAGCAGGTTTGTGTTACTGCTCTTTACATCGTTTTAAACTAAAATAAAAAAAGAGGGAACATAGTTTGTTTACCGGCTGCTTTTGTTTCAAAGCTTTGCTCAGCTTCAAAGAATTTATTGAATTTTAGAGTTTTAGTGTCCGCATGAACGCAATGTTCTGAACATTTCTCCAGAAAAGTTTGTATAAAACACGACAAATAGCACAAAAATACCTTGGAATTAAATAAAAAGTGTAGAAATCATAATTCCCCAGAGCAGTACTGTTCTTACACGTGTCTGAATGTGTTTGTTAGCAAAACATTTCATGACCCACTGTACAAATGTGAACAAATAAATGTTATAACTGTGGAGAATGTGTTGTGGTAGTAGCTGAGAGTCACCCCCACACATCCTCTGAGTGCTAGCTGACTGCACAAGATCTTCTGAAAACTTCGCCTGGTTAGGCAGCGGGTGATATGCAAGAAACGCTACATTAATTTCTACATTTAGCTGCAAATTATTACCACAAAATAAACTTGACCATCTTAAAACGCTCAACTGTTTTAAGTCACATTAAAAACATTAAACAGTTTTTAAATATTTAATATATTAATAATATATTAAATATATAAATATGTAAACATATATATATAATTTTTAATATTTAATTTCCATCTGGGATTAATAAAGTATTTTGGAATTGAATTTCCTGTAGTATTTTATTTAAATCAGAGCAGCTCTAACACAATTTCTCAGACCAATATCTCCTTTCACATTTATCATCACCACAAAAATGTCATTTTCAGTCTGAATGCTGAAGAATCTGAAACTGGTTTGTTCAACGAAAAGAAGCAGAAGCTAACACCTGAAATTAGCAAAATGACTAGCTAAAAGCTAAGGCTAGCTTAAAGGTAAAAGCAGCATAAACAGAAAAATAGTTAATTTTTCTGAAGCAGATTTTGCAGAACAATGTTAATGTATTTTTATGGAGTTAATATTTATTAATAGTTATATATTTTGAGAACGGGCAGCACGGTGGCGCAACTGGTAGAGCTGCTGCCTCTCAGCGAGCAGGTCCCTGGTTCAAACCCCGGTCCAGGGGCCTTTCTGGGTGGAGTTTGCATGTTCTCTCCGTGCATGCGTGGGTTTTCTCCGGGTACTCCAGTTTCCTCCCACAGACCAAAAACATGCATGTTAGGCTGATTGGTAACTCTAAATTGTCCCTAGGTGTGAGTGAGAGAGTGAATGGTTGTTTGTCTCGTTTGTCTCTATGTGGCCCTGTGATGGACTGGAGACCTGTCCAGGGTGTCCCCCGCCCCTCGCACAGTGATTGCTGGACATGGGCACCAGCGACCCCCGTGACCCAAAATGGAATAAGCGGGTAAAGAAAATGGATGGATATTTTGAGAACTTCGCGTTGGCTCAGTGGTCAGTCCTGGTGGTCTTATAATCCCGAGGCTGCAGGTTCGAGCCCAGGAACGTAAAATGACCAAATCTTTCAGGTGAGGTCGCGCGCTGTGGCGACCCCTGCAGAACGAAGCAGCTGAAAGAAATACAACGTTGTGAAAAGTTTAAATGTTACAAAAACTAAAAGTCACTGCAGCCTTCTCCTGACTGAGCTGAACTTTAACAATATGAAAACAGCACAAAATAAATAAAATTATAAAATATGCTGAAGTAGAAAAAGCCGTTTAAATAAATGAAACCAACGGCGTGAAAACTGAATCAACATTTAAACAATTGATTTTACTGAAGGTGCTCATCAAGGTCGAAGCTCTCACATGATGGAGCTCAGGAGCAGCTCCACGCCCCAACCACCTGACAGGACTTCCTGTCACCCCTTCCTCCCCACCCTCTCACTCACCCGCCTCACCCCTTTTCATTGAACTCGTCTCCTTTTAGGTCGACTCATCTTCGGTCAAGTCCAGATCCTTCGCCATGCTTGACCCAGTCCTCCGTTCATCGTTGATCCGTGCCACCATCCTGCTGGGGGGTCCTAAGCCGGCCAGGATGTCGAACCACTGAGAGAACGCCCAGTCCGATTCTCCTCTTCCTCACGTGGTGATGTGGTCCCTGCTGCTGCATCGAACAGCCACAAAGCAGCCTGAAGACATGATGATTTATCGTCTCTAAACGTCAGCTGACAGTTCTGTTTGCCTTGTCACGAGCTAATTACAGCTCTGACTGCGACACACGGGTCAGAAGGTGTTTGAAGCCGCTGAATTCTGATTCAGCCATAAATTATACATGACTGTTAAACACGAGCCTTTCACTGTATGAATGCAACTCCCTCACTGAGGGGTGGCATGTTTGATTCTTTAACGACAACCGACACGTTAGGTCTGTGCACAAAAACAAACACCATCATTATCTGGAGAAACACCAAAGAACAGATTGTGACGGACTGAAACACGCGCTCAGGTATTCTAGGGGTCAAAAGGTTTGAGTCGAGCAGCAGTACGATGATTAATTCTCAGCTCTAAATTCAAACACAAGTCAAACACTTCAGTCAATCAGTATAACTTTATTGTCCATAACATTCCATGAAATGCATATTTAGCTTTGACATCTGGCTCATACATACAAAACAACACAAGTTAAAAATGCCATAAAACCTTTAAAAAGCTTTGCTAACTCAATAAAACCAATTCTAAAACACAGGATACATTAACATAAAAACATCCAGATGATTGTCATGTGAAGCTACGTTTAAATAAGGACAATCACAGCAGAGGGAACAAATTACTTTTTGTACCCATTTTTCTTCACCAGAGGAACCAGCAGTATTCTTCCAGATGGTACCAACCTGAGTAATGGTTGCAGTGGATGAGTTGGGTCGTAAATCTCGATTTACTTTGGTTCAAGAGCCTGACTGTTCAGGTCTGTAAGCTGTATTTGTTGATGACAAATGATTTTACCTAGTTTGACCACTTGGGACAACTTGTTCCCGTCTTTGGCTAGAAGGTTCCCGTACCATGAGACAAGGAAACACTTTCAGCCAGTGACCTGTACAACAACTGCAAAATATTTTTGCTAGCAGCGTTTACCTAGCTTCTATGAGCCGTTATTGTGATGCACAGCCAACTGCGACGCAACAAAACTCTTTACCGGAGAAATGTTTATGTAACCGTGTGAAGTACGACGGAACACGATTGTTTTAAAATACACTTTCTTATTCAACGTGAATAAATTAGTTATTTGAAGATCTGCATGTTGCCCACTGTAATTTAGAGTAGGTTATAGCCACGACTCTGCGTTGGCAAAGTAGCTGAAATCGAACTGATTAAAAAGTTGACGGCAAAGTTTTAAACCAGTCATGTGCATCATTTAGTGATCAATAAGTTTGGTAACTCTCAGGTACTGCCACCCTAAAGTGTAGCACAATATATGTGGCAGCCATTTTGTATTGGGTTGAGTCCAAGAGGTCATCAGTTTAGGATTTACATCCAATGATAACTTTCAGTTTTATTTAAACCCGTCCAGTGATTGGGAGATATTTGGCAAGTAAATAAACAAAACCATTACTGCTCTACCTTCACCGTTAACAGCGGACGATAATTAACATTTATTTAACAAGACAAATCCTGTTGAGAGCACAGGTCTCTGTAACGAGTCTGTATGGATCAGCACAACATTTAAAAAAAAAGGTTTTATTTATTAAAGGCGTTCCGTCTGGGGAGGATCCGAGCCTCGGTTCTGGTCCAATCTATGAAGACAGACAGGTTAGTGACTACAAAAAGGTTCTGGCAGCCAAGAGAGGTGGTGTGCACATCACTAACCTTCTGTGGCAGGAGCAGGGCTGAGACAGAACGTTGGAGGGCTGGGCAGGAAACAGAATCCAGGGACGTAGCAGGGGTCGAGAGCCAGGAGCCGTGTGAACAGGCAAAAGGATGATCCGTGGTCGAAGAGGAGAGCGAGGTTGTACCGTGTAGGCCGAGAGCGTGGTATCCAGACAGGGGCCAAGTCAAAGCAAGGAGTCAAGAGTGAAGCTGTGGTCAATAACAAAGAAACTAGGAACAAGGGAATGCTGGGTAATTTACTGGCTGTGAGGCTTTCAATAATCTGGCACCTTGCAGAGGCAAGAGCTGAGTTTATATAGGGCTGGCACCAGGTGTAGAGCATCAACACTGATTACTGTGATCAGGGAGAACCAGGCAGGCTTTGCAGGGGTGATTGACAGGCAGCTAGAAATGACAGAGGGAGAGTGGCCAGAGTGACAGGAGCTGAATGAATGAGAGGGGAACTCAAAACTGAAGCAGGAAAAAACGTGAATGATCTTAAAACAGGGGCTGTGGTATGAGGAGCAGAGGCTTGAACAGATGTGGGGGCAGCGGGGGCCGCTGAGCGTGACAGGTCTCTGCAAGAGAGGCCTGAAGGCTCGTGCATGTTTTGGACTGTGGGAGGAAACCAGAGACAACCCACCAAACACAACGAGAACATACAAATTGCACATTGAAAGACCTCTGGTCCAACACCGGTAAACTGAGGACCTTCTTGTTCTGAAGCGATAATAGTAACCACTCATCTATCGTGCTGCACGGTAATCCAAGAATATTTTAATGTAACAATCCTCCCAAGTTTTACATTTTTTTACATAACCATAAAGAAAATCATCACTTGGATGATTTCTTCCAGGGGTCAAGAACAGCTTTTTGCTAGAGGAGTAAGATCAAGACGCCTGAAAATAAATATCTTTGATTATGTTGGAATTATTCAAAGAACTGGACACACTGTCCTGGTGCATGCTCAACAATCCAAGTAAATAAATCCAACAAGGCTGAGTCAGGTCCTCTGGGGGAATTCTTCAGATTCTCTGGATGGAAGAATCTGTCCGGAGGACCTGACTCAACCTTGTTGAACTGGACATACTGTAACTTCACCGAGAAGTCATCAGAAAGGCACAAACTGTTCTTTCAAAGAATCCCCAGAACAGTAAACCTGCTGTCTTTTAATAATGTGACCAGTTGTAACTGGTGCAGTTCTGAATTCACACAACTGGACTAAAGTCGGACTGACACACCTCAGATTGAGCTGCTAACATGATTATTTAGAGCATAATTCCATTTAGGCTTTAAAAATGAATCTGCAGTTCCTGCAAATGAAACAAAAAGTACAAACAGTTCAAAAGGGACAGTTTAGAACATTTGAAGTGTGGTTTTGATAACTGTCTTTGTTATTCTGGCTTTGCTTTCATATAGTATCAAATCAGGTTTTAATCATATTTAATGTTTATTTAATACTTTGTGCATTCAATAGGCTTAAATAATTTTGGGGACAATTTAGATCAGATATAAAGATAACAGGGCTGGGAGTGAAATTTTGGTTTTGAAAAGGTTTTGAAATGTCCTCAGGAAATTTCTTGGTCAGTTCTGTGAACATTCTTCAGTGAATCGTCTTTATAACAGGCCATATTCAGGCCTCGAGTGTGTCTCACAGGAATTTGGATGCACTTTATGTGTTTGAAGTTTTGGAATCTCAGAGATAATTATGGATAATCTTTTCCTTGTCTAGTCTAAGTGGAGGTCAAGACCAAAGCAGATCGCTGCAGTCTTTTCAAGTTTTGCAACAAGTCACACAAATGCTTTAAAAAAAATCAACGTCACATCACTGCTGACTTCTTACAACTTGGTTATCCAGAAATATTTAGGTATTTCTTTTGTCCCAGAAGTGCTACAGCAAGCTGACGCTATTTAACCATGTAAAGCAAAACTGATTGTGATGTAAAGGTTTATACTGTAAATACTCTTTGTGTGGAAACACGGCAATATTTTAAGCATTTTCAGATCTGCAGCATTCATTCTGTTTCCCCCATGGTGCAGTTTGTTTGTATAGATGGGAACACATTGCTTTCCCTTTGGACCAGGTGGTATCGGTGCGGTCCTAAAAGAACTCCAGAGCAGCTTATGTATGGTGAGGATGTAATCCACATTCGATCCATCACAACTACCAGACAAATGTTGCCAGAGCCAGACCTGTTCCCACTGCTAGGTGTGCTTTGCATTCTCTCAGCACATACGCTGAGTACGGTGGTTATGCTGTACATGTTGCTGCTTCCTAGGCCAGCTTTTTCGTCAACAGGAAGTTTGTAATTCCATTGAGACGTTTACCTGGCTAAAAAAACAAGTAAAAAAAAAAAAAAAGAGAAAACAGGTCTTGAAAGGTGTATTCTTTAAAGAAATGGAGTTAAGATGTCAAGGTTCAGAAAGAAGGAGGTGCTGCAACCACACCTCCTTTCACCTGACTCACCTTTTCATCAGTTTGTTTCGTGCTGTTAACACCCACTCTCTTCTCTCATCAGTTCTTACTCCTCTCATTCTTTCCCATCATCCTTTACGCCTACCCCTTTCCCCCTCACCATTCCAGAGAAAAATTCAGTTTGTGTCAAAAACCAGAGAATAAAAAGATGTAAAAAAAGTTAAAAAAATGGACAGTGAAGGGGCTAGTCTGATTGTCTAATTGAGGGGCCATCTTTCTTTTTTAGTGGCGTATAAATCTCACAATCGTCAGCATAGCAATGATAAAAGATCCCACGCGTTCTGAGGATTGAGCCCAAAGGAAACAGGTAAAGGGAAAAAAGCAGGGGACCTAGAATAGAGCCCTGTGGAACCCCAAAAAAACAGAGAAGCAGTGGAGGATTCAGAACCAGCAATGCTGACACATATGGATATGTCTGCCAGATATGACCTAAACCAGCTTGGTGCAGTACCACAGATACCCACTTGGTGCTGTAAACGTGATGTTAAAATGTTGTGGTCCACTGTATCAAAGGAAGCAGTTAGGTTGAGCAGGACAAGAACCACATGTTCACCAGAATCATTGGCCATAAAAATGTTGTTAAAAACTCTGACTAGAGCTGATTCTGTACTGTGCTGAGTTTTAAAATCAGACTGACAAACCTTTAGGATATTTCTGCTCATCCAAAAAACATTTTACTTGGGAATATACAATTTTTCCTAAAATTTTAGAAACAAAAGGCAGTTTGGATATGGGCCTAAAATTAGACAAGGCAGTTTGATCAAGGCTAGGCTTTTTTTTTAGTAGGGGCTACACCTGCACATGTTTAAAGCTTATAGGGACCACACTTGAGGACAGATTGCTATTGATAACAGCAAGAATTACCTGCCTGATGTTGGAAAAAATCTCTTAATAAACGAGGGGGGACAAGGTCACGAGAGGAACCTGATGGCTTAATATGGCCAACCACATCCTCTAAAAGGGTCAGAGTCACTGTCTCGAATCTATTGAACACAGCCAGGCAGGGGACCAAGCAAGAGGGGTCAAAGGCAGGGGATAAGGGCCCTTTTGGTAGCAACCTTATTGATAAAAAAAAATGTAGAAAGTTATTATATAGTTCAGTAGAGGCTTCATGATAATGTGGCATGAAGATAACTTAGTGATTTAAAACAAAAGTTTAAATTTAAAGTACAACCCCCCCCCCCCCCCCCACTCCACTCTCCGCCCCTAAAAGTCCAAAGTCATCTCGTACTTTTATTTTAATTATTTATTAAAAATACAACGAGAGGAGATGTTGCCCAGTCTGTGGAGTGGATGTTCCAGCCACAGCGCGCACACCATGCTCCTGCCCAGCAGACGCGAACCGCATGTCCCGCGGGGAGCGTCTTCATCCACCTTCAGCTGTGTGTATATGTCTATGTGCATGAGTTCTGACACATCGGCAGCTGTACGCGCTCTGGAGAGCTGTCTGGAGACGCTCTTGTGTATAAAACATGCGCTGTCTACAGGGCGCACAGCTAAAGCATGAAGACGCTCCCCGCTGGACATGCGGTTCGCGTCTCTGCTGGGCTGGAGCAGCTGCATGAAGCTGACACTGCACCATCAGCTTCACCCAGCTGGCAGGAGCATGTGCACAAGCTGGTGCGCATAGTGTGGCTGGGTCATCCACTCCACAGACTGGGCAACGTCTCCTCTCATTGTATTTTTAATTAGACAGTGGAGACAGTGGAGGTGGTTTGGGAATCTGGTAAGGATGTTCCTGGGACACCTCCCTAGGGAGGTGCTTCAGGTATGTCCAAATGGGAGGAGACCCTAGGGAAGACCCAGGACACACTGAAGAGACATTGGCCAGGGAACACCTTGGCATCCTCCCAGAAGAGCTGGACGAGGTGGCTGTGGAAAGAGATGCACGGGCCTCCCTGCTCAACTTCTGCCCTCACGATCCAACTTCAGAACAAGCAGAAGATAATGGATGGATGGATTCAACAGTACTTTAAGTTTTCTTTATTTATTGAGTAAGCTTTTTATTTTTATTTTCTTTAAGTAGGGAGCCATCTTAAGGTTTTCACTTCTCTCCATTTACAGTAATTTAAAATCTAAAATTATAACTAAGATCTGACAGTTTCAATGACTCATCTATTGATGACACCTTTTTACCCTAAAAAGTATGAACCAATGTGCCTCAAAGAGATAAGACCAATCTAAAGATCTTTATTCATAATGCAAAGTGCGGTGTTTGCCCAAAAAACAGACACACCTGATTCAAGCTTAAGCATGGTTTACATGATTTGGGTTTAATTCTGGCCAACTTACAATCATTGAGATGATCATGAACTCCTCTGTAGACTATATAATTCTAGAGTCTTAATCAGCAAGAATTTGTTTATGGAAATATATGTTTGTACACTTACAGAAGGATTTATTTAATTCAAAAGAAATTAAATAAATTTGAGAGAAGATGATACAAAGATACAAAATATTTATATAAACACAGTTGTTCTTTTGAATCAAAAATACATGTAAACATTATAAATAATAAACAGCAAAAAATAATGTAATTGATTTCAACAAACATGAAACAGAAAAAAATACATTTCTCTGATTTTCTTTTTGAACAGTATGTACATTTTGTGACAAAACCTAGATCAATGTTTAAACACATATTGGAATTGTCAGATTATTAATGGCTGTAAAGCGTCCATATAATTTTAAAGAATTTACAACATAAGAACAAAAAATCCAAGTAGCAGATGGAACATGCCCAGTCTGACTCTAGATGCATCACTGGTGGTTGTTGAAGTGGTAGCTGACTGTGCTGGAGTGGTTGTTGTGGTTGTAGTTGTAGTGGTTTTTGTTATGGTTGGAGTTTTAATAGTGGTTGACTTTGTGTTTGTAATATTTACAATGGATTGTTGCTTAGTTGTAGTTCTTATTGCAACAGGTGTGGTTTTTTGTTTTGTACTTCTAAATGTAGTTGCTGGTGGTTGAGTTGTAGTTGAAGTTGATTCAGTGTGAGATGAAATTGTTGGTGCTTGAGTGATTAATGTGGATGTATGAGCTGTAGTTGCTGGTATTTGACTTATGGTTTTTGGTGTTTGAGTTGTAGTGGTTGGTGCTGGGGTTGTTGTTAGAGCTTGAATTGCAGTTGCTGCAGTTGTTGGTGCTTGCGTTGTGGTTGTTGGTGTAGCGGTTGCAGTTGTTGGTGCTTGCGTTGTGGTTGTTGGTGTAGCAGTTGCAGTTGATGGTGCTTGAGTTGTGGTTGTTGGTGTAGCAGTTGTAGTTGTTGGTGCTTGAGTTGTAGTTGTTTGTGCTGCAGCTGTAGTTGTTCGTGATTGACTTGTTGGTGCTTGAGTTGTGGTTGTTGGTGAAGCAGTTGTAGTTGTTACTGCTAGAGTTGTGGTTGTTGGTGTAGCAGTTGTAGTTGGTGGTGTTTGTGTTGTAGCCATCATAGTTGTTGGTGCTTGAGTTAAGGTTGTTTGTGCTTCAGTTTTAGTTGTTGGTGCTTGAGTTGTGGTTGTTGATGTAGCAATTGTTGTTGTTGTTGCTTGAGTTGTGGTTGTTTGTGATGCAGTTGGAGTTGTTGGCACATGAGTTGCGGTTGTTGATGTAACAGTTGTAGTTGGGGCTTGGGTTGTGGTGGTTGGTGTAGCAGTTGTTGTTGGGGATTGAATTGTCGTTGTTAGTGCTTGAATTGAAGTTGTTGGTGCTTGGGTTCTGGTTGTTTGTCCTGCAGTTGTAGTTGTTCGTGCTTGACTTGTTGTTTGTGTTTTAGTTGTGGTTGGTGGTGTACCAGTTGTAGTTGATGGTGCTTGAGTTGTGGTTAATGGTGTAGCTGCTGTAGTTGTTGGTAAATGGGTTGTGGTTGTTGGTGTAGGAGTTGCAGTTGTTGATGCTTGAGTTGTGGTTGTTTGTGCTTGAGTTGTGGTTGTTGGTGTAGCAGTTGCAGTTGTTGATGCTTGAGTTGCAGTTGTTGGTGCTTGAGTTGTTGTTGGTGTTTTAGTTGTGGTTGGTAGTGTAGCAGTTGTAGTTGATGATGCTTGAGTTGTGGTTGCTGGTGTAGCAGTTGCAGTTATTGGTGCTTGGGTTGTGGTGGTTGGTGTAGCAGTTGTTGTTGGTGCTTGAATTGTCATTGTTAGTGCTTGAATTGAAGTTGTTGGTGCATGGGTTCTGGTTGTTTGTCCTGCAGTTGTAGTTGTTCGTGCTTGACTTGTTGTTTGTGTTTTAGTTGTGGTTGGTGGTGTACCAGTTATAGTTGTTGATGCTTGAGTTGTGGTTGTTTGTGCTTGAGTTGTGGTTGTTGGTGTAGCAGTTGCAGTTGTTGGTGCTTGAGTTGTTGTTGGTGTTTTAGTTGTGGTTGGTGGTGTACCTGTTGTAGTTGTTGGTGCTTGGGTTGTGGTTGTTGGTGTAGGAGTTGCAGTTGTTGATGCTTGAGTTGTGGTTGTTTGTGCTTCAGTTGTAGTTGGTCGTGCTTTAGTTATGGTTGGTGGTGTAGCAGATGTAGTTGGTGCTTGAGGTGTGGTTGTTGGTGTAGCTGTTATAGTTGTTGGTGTTTGGGTTGTGGTTGTTGGTGCAGCAGTTGTAGTTTTTGGTGCTTGAGTTGTGGTTGTTGGTGTAGCAGTTGCAGTTGTTGGTGCTTGAGTTGTGGTTGTTTGTGCTGCAGTTATAGTTGGTGCTTGACTTGTTGTTGGTGCTTTAGTTGTGGTTGGTGGTGTAGCAGTTGTAGTTGATTGCGCTAGAGTTGTGATTGCTGTTGTAGAAGTTGCAGTTGTTGGTGCTTGGGTTGTGGTGGTTGGTGTAACAGTTGTAGTTGTTGATGCTTGTGTTGTAGTTGTTGGTTTAGTAGTTTTAGTTGTTGTTGCTTGAGTTCTAGTTGTTTGTGATACAGTTGGAGTTAGTGCTACAGTTGTAGTTGTTGGTGCTTGACTTGATGTTTGTACTTTAGCTGTATTTGTTGTTGTAGCAGTTGTAGTTGATGGTACTTGAGTTGTGGTTGTTGGTGTAGCTGATGTATTTGCTAGTGCTTGGATTGTGGTTGTTGGTGTAGCAGTTGCAGTTGTTGGTGCTAGAGTTGTAGTTGTTTGTGCTGCAGTTGTAGATGTTGGTGCTTGAGTTGAGGTCGTTGATGTTGCAGTTGTTGTTGGCGCTTGTGCTGTTGTTGTTGGTGAAGCAGTTGTAGTTGTTGTTTCTTGGGTTGTGGTTGTTTGTCCTACAGTTGAAGTTGTTGGTGCTTGACTTGTTGTTTGTGCATTACTTGTAGATGCAGCAGTTGTACTTGTTGGTGCTTGAGTTGTGGTTGTTTGTGATGCAGTTGTACTTGATGCTTGAGTTGTGGTTGTTTGTGATGCAGTTGGAGTTGTCGTCACGTGAGTTTCGGTTGTTGGTGTAGCAGTTGTAGTTGTTGGTGCTTGGGTTGTGGTTGTTGGTGTAGCAGTTGTAGTTGTTGGTGCTTGTGTTATATTTGATGGTTTAGTAGTTATAGTTGTTGTTGCTTTAGTTGTAGTTGTTGGTGTAGCAATTGTAGTTGTTGTTGCTTGAGTTGTGGTTGTTGGTGATGCAGTTGGAGATGGTAGCACTTGAGATGTGGTTGTTGGTGTAACAGTTGTAGTTGCTTGTGCTTGGGTTGTGGTGGTTGGTGTAGCAGTTGTTGTTGGTGCTTGAATTGTCGTTGTTAGTGCTTGAATTGAAGTTGTTGGTGCTTGGGTTCTGGTTGTTTGTCCTGCAGTTGTAGTTCTTCGTGCGTGACTTGTTGTTTGTGTTTTAGTTGTGGTTGGTGGTGTACCAGTTGTAGTTGATGGTGCTTGAGTTGTGGTTAATGGTGTAGCTGTTGTAGTTGTTGGTGCTTGGGTTGTGGTTGTTGGTGTAGCAGTTGCAGTTGTTGATGCTTGAGTTGTGGTTGTTTGTGCTGCAGTTTTAGTTGGTGCTTGACTTGTTGTTGGTGCTTTAGTTGTGGTTGGTGGTGTAGTATTTGTAGTTGATGGTGCTTGAGTTGTGGTTGCTGGTGTAGCAGTTGCAGTTGTTGGTGCTTGAGTTGTGGTTGTT